TCCACCTGGTCATCAAGAGGGACGAGAAGAAGAACGAGAGAGGAGGGTTGCGAGGGTGACCGTGTCTGGCGGTCGTCACTGTGTTTGGGTATATAGTGGTTCGTCCCAGGCTTTGACAGCGGCGTGAATTGTCCCAGCAAACTACGTGCGTCCATTGGCAAACAGCTTCGAGTTCTATATATACACACAAGCTCCGCCCCACCTCCTCTGGCCATCACCCTCATAAATGAAGGCCGTCTGGTGATCTGTCCATCAGCGTTGAAGTTCTGCCTTTTCTGGCTGGCCCCTCAAAAGAGTGGCGCCCTCACTCCTACACTGTCTCCAACAAAACAAAACAAAAGAAAAAAAGGAAACGTCTGGCTTATAAAACAGACTCACGCACGCACACGCCTGCAGTCTCGCAGTCTTTCAAACAGACATGCATCCACGTATGCACGTAGACATCCACGCGCTGAACAGCTGTACACGCTCGGGCGGTCAACTCTCGCTCGGGGCAGACGCCGGATCTTTCTTAGCAGTTGCTGCTGTTCCTAAATTCTCCGTTTTCCGTGATCTGCAGTTTGGTGGGGTTGGTGGGGGAGATGCCGTTGCGCGTCTGCATGTTGTAGCGCTCCTTCAGCTGGCTGAGAGCGCTCATCAGACGGGCGTTGGCAGCATCCAGTGATGCTATGCGCTTCTCCTGTGAATGCACATGAACACAGTAAGACCCGGAAAAAAATTCCAATATTACAGCTTCCTCATCAGTTGGAGGAGAAACGTGACGTTCTTATTCGTCCCCATCCTAACCTGCTGATATCTGCTCTACAACCAAGCTTTGTTAATGTCACGAGCTTGTTTTAAATGAGCGGTAAAGTGAAGCTGACACTGATGTGCAAACAAACTGCAAACTAACTGTCATGTTTATATTTTATTAAGGTTTAGGGTTAGATTGACATGGGTGTGGCTGCTTTGAGTGACAGCTACGTGCTAACTAGGCTGCTAACTGTCTGCGTAGGCTTCCCATCTGCTTGTTGTACCAACAGCTCATGTAAGATAACTGAATTGAATACAGTTTTATTTATATAGCACCAAATCATAACTACAGTCGCATCGAGGCGCTTTATATTTTAAGGTAAAGACTCCAAAATAACAGAGAAAATCCCAACAATCAGATTACACCCTGTGAGAATGCATTTGGCAACAGTTGGAAGGAAAAACTCCCTTTTAACAGGAAGAAACCTCTGACAGACCCAGGCTTGGGGAGGGGCAGCCGTCTGTGGCGACCAGTTGGGGCTGAGGGGAGGAAGACTGGCTATAAAGACCAAGACTGTCATTCAGTTTTAGTAGAAATTTTTATTTTGGTTTTTTGTATGCTATTAAGCATTAATTAGCATGTGTTTGTGTTGTGAAGCTGAAGACTATGGATGCAGCTTGCTAACTAAACTAGCACTGACTAACACCGTCTTCTATAAATATGGTGGTCTTTGGCTCCAAAAGACCAACCTGCCAGCAGCCAAATACGCTAATGCTGCTAGAGGCTTTAAAACACAAATCCACAAACCAGTGGGTAGAATCACTGTGATTATGTCCATCTTTTACATACAGTCTTTTGTTGTAAATGGCTAATTTCAAACACCTGACTGATCTCCTGTGGTGAAGTTTTAAGTGTACTCTGTGTAGTTTAACGCAGATAAAAACTGCATTTTAAAAAATACATCAACTTCCTGTCCCGGTCCACTAAAGCAGTCTTCACTCCCCGTCTTTGCAATGACCTTTTTTATTTGCCTTCTATCTGCGCTTGTGTACCGAGGCTGACAATTCATTGCCTTACTGCAGCGCACGTGTTTGTAGATGCAAACTCTCATTACTGTGTGTGTGACAGAGATTATTTGCCAATGCATGTTTGCGTCTGTGTAAACATCAGTTGCATTTCTTTGTCAAAGACGCTGTGAAACACCTAAGCTACAAAGATGCAGATTTGCTCTTAATTGTGTGCTGGTGTTTGCACTTACAGCTCTAACACACACACAAGCAGGACGGTTTATTCAGTTACAAACCCAACAACAAACATTCAAAATTCCTTAAAAATGCTCAAAAAGAACAGTTTTTCTTTTAAGTTAGATTTTCATGCAATTTTACACAAATATGAACCACTGTGGATTATAGAGGTGCTACATGCTGACAGACAACCAGATAAGACACTTTTGTTTTATAAGGAGGAGTGGGAGGGAGCTGAGAAATTCTGCTCAGCCATCCAAGCTTGTCAATGCCACAGCTAGACAGCTATGAATTAAACATCTCTTTGTATTTCAGTGACCCTTTGTTTCCTCATGTAGGAGAAGCAAGTGACAGCACATACAAATTTAAAACGCGCAGATGAAAAGTATCCACAAAGCCATACGCAGCCCGCGGTGGGGTCGCTACGGTGGACTGACCTGTGCGTCGATGATCTTCTGTTTAGAGTCTACCACCGCCTGCATGTCAGAATGATCCTTCTTCAGCTCCTCCTCCACCGACATTAACCTGGGAAGATAAACAAAGACAGGGCAGAGTTAGAGGGGCTGTGAAACGCTGCATCCCAAAATACATCTCAGCAAATCTGCCTCTTCTTCCTCTTTTCCCCTGCCTGCTGATGATGCTCTTCATCTGGAGGTCTTTGTCGTCCTGCTGTCTGCGCAAGCGCTCCTCTGACTCCTCCAGCCGGGCCTGGTACTCCATCAGCACCTTCTGGGCCTGCTCGTCCTGACCCTTCAGACGGGCCTCGTACTCCTCCAGCTTCTGCACCGACGCCCGCAGTTTCTCCTGCAGCACCGCGATCTCCTGCTGGTACTGAACAGAGAAGCAGAGCGTTGAGGACACTCTCATCATCGCGTTTTGTTATCAACATCATCATCAGCCCTAGCAGCGGGGTCCCCTTCTTCATTACCACGAGACGAGAACAAAAAACGGCAATCTCTCAATCAGACCTGGGACTGTGCTGCTTTGTGTCTGAGATGGAGTATAATTTTGGTCTAGAGGGAATTACTGTGGGACATTTTATATGGAATGTCATGATAGCACATTGAAAAACACTGACTGACATCACGGTGCATTTGAGGAGCCCAGTTAAGCTTTTATTGCCCCCCAAAATACTAAGTGGTGTTAGAAGGTTTCCAAAGGCAGCCTCTGTTCTGGATCTGAAGCCAATGACCTACTGAGACATGTAACTGGCAAAAAGAAAGAAAAATCAAAGCAAGAGAGAAGGGAGGAAAAAGGGAATTTTGAATGAATAAAGAGGAGGTGATAAGAAAAGGATGCAACCAGTGAAGCAGAGACTTCTCTTCAGCAAGTAGACTGCATATAAAAGACAGATGTAGCCACCATGACATCATATAGCTCTGAAACGTTTTCATAAAATTAACAGTGGGCTGTAAGCCCGTTTTCCCATACACTTATTTTTAAAATCAGACATGCTCAAAGTGGGATTCGCCCCCTGCTGGCGATGAGAAAGATTGCAGTTTTAAGGCTTATATTGGCTTTAAGACTCAGCAGCTATGGCCATCTTTAATACACAGCCTATGCGTCAGAGAAAAGGAAACAAGTAGAGGAATCAAACATTTTTTGATGTCTAAACAGTCTAAAGCTGGGGTGGGCAACATTTTTGGCAACCTGCTAGTGACTAATTCTTGGACTTGCATCCAGTCGTTTTTGCCTAATGATTGCCGGTTGCCAAGGCAGTCACCAACCAGTCTTTAAGCCTGTGCGCTTAAAACATCAAAGATCACACACTGAGAAACCAACTACAAACACGACCTAAACCTGTGGACAGAACCTCCGACATTGCCATTCCTCAAGCCTCACTGCTAATTTATAATAATATAATTTTATCTATATTATGCCGTATCACAACAATAGTCGCCTTGTTCATATTATAAGGAAAGGCCCTACAATAATAAAGAGAAACCCCTCAATCAGATGAACCCCTATGTGCAAGCACAATCAGATCCAATTACAAAGCGAGGACTTCGCTCACTCTGTACCCGTTCACTCTTATTTACCCATG